GGACCAGGTAATCCAGCAGTTCTGTATTGTCCGCTTGCTGCTCCTGGAAACCCATCAGGTCCAGGTGGGCCTACAGGTCCATCGGGACCCGGCAACCCTGGTGGTCCAGCCGGACATTGCACACAACCTCCTGCTGTACCCCCTAAGACAGAGATACCAGGCGTACCTGGTCTGCCATCCGCTCCACGAGGCCCGTCTTCGCCTGGCTCTCCCACCATTCCAGGAGGGCCTTGTGGTCCTGCAGGGCAGCTACTAGCACTTTCTGCACAGTTGCATGTCGGACTCTCGTAAGACTGTCTCTTTTGACGATGGAATAATGCACGAATTTCTCCGGTGTCATGATTTCCTGCCGAAAGCTGTATTTCTTTCCAAGCATCGTTGGCATAGTACTAAACGACAGATGGTATGCTCATTAATATGACATCTATGCACTTGCTTACCTGGAATTCGTTCATCTCCAGTAATGCATCTTCGTAGAAATGGTTGATGTCTTGAAAAATATAGCCAACGATTACTATAGACGAGATTGTACAAAACGTAGTTCCACAGAAGAAATATGTTGCTACATGATTGGCAGACATGGCAAATTGTGTCTGAGCAATCGCCCCAGAACTCCTTATATACAGGAGAGGAGAAGAGGCTAAACATCCTGCGCGTGTCTTGTTTCATAATAAGGCTTGCGTAAAGCGATTAATGCACTGTCGCCGATTTGGCCAGTTTCAACAAACTCGCGCGAGCTCATTATTTCCGAATAGAGGACAGAAGAGGAGGGATACTTGACCTTAGATGTTTTTCTGCTCACTGTTCAGCGCTGGTCTATATCACGCGTTTAGAAAGTGCTTCTGCATTGTGTGGTTTTTTCTTTAATTAATGGTTTCCAAGCAATTGGAAGCGGACAATCAAGTGATTAAGCCTGCTTGTCTGCTGCCGTGAATGTTGGTTGCTTTCTGGATTGACAGAGCATTCGGCTTCTCAATCGCATCGTGTCTCCGGAGCCAATCTATCTCACTATGCTGGGGATGTCTAACGAAATCACGCAGAAAACTCAAACACTGCCGTTTAATGTGTGAGAAAATTTAATAATCTCGTTAATTACCGCTGGTGGACGCAGGCCATATGAGTTGTTTCTTGAAATTAACTCACAAAGGCAGTGTCCCTCAAATTGGTGGGCGGACTCGCCTAATAACCTATCAGTGAAGTTTGGAGCGAAAAAGCGCTTTTGGAAAGTTTAAAAATTCACTTCAGAAGTCTTACGGACCCACTTCCAGATCCCGCCCACTTCCTAATACATAATCATGGGGCGAATGCGAACTTGCAGAGCTTCGAAAAAGCCTATTTTTGCCATTTGAGAGCGCTGAAAAGCTTAGATAAGGCTTCAGCTTGTCGAGAGGGCTCCGAAAAGGCAAAAAAAAACAACAACTAGAAAACGAAA